TAGCATATATATTCCACCAAGACTTGAAGATACTGCGCTGTACGGGTCCGTGGCTCCTTTGCTTTATCTTGAGACACCAAAGATCTGAGTGTACATGTGCTCTGTCTTTATGACCCACAAAATGCCTGTAAGTGGTGGGTGCGTACGCAACGTGACGTTACAAACTAGTACATGTGAGTTTTACTTCGCCATTAAGAATCTCATACACCGTAACACATCAAGCCTCGCAGGTGCCATCGGCACATTACAAGCCTATGGTTAAACGCATCAACTTTTTCTGTCCCACAGATATAACCACTGTGTGCCCGGTTGTTTTCCGTATCCAAATGTAAAACGAAGCCCACATAAGGTCTCAGGTTTGTTTCTTGTGGAGTAAACCATAAAACTTTAAGCCAAAACAGCGCCGGTTTACATTTTCTCACCAGACTAGAGCAAATTGAAGGCCAAGAGTTTGAGAAATGCTACCCGCGTAACGGGGAAAATTACTAGGGAACCATGCGACTAGGCTGTAGTCAAGTCGAAGATTCACCTCACATCAAATGAAAGGTAAATTTCATTACGGAACCTGTGGAACTGCCTGGGAGTGTTCTTTTATAGTTGTGTACCAGCCATTGGATATCCAAGGAAGTTCACAAAGACGCGTGAGGGTGTTGAGTCATTAAAAACTATGTACATATGAGACGTTTTCTATCTTGTCCAATAGCACGTTGGTGCCTAGTCGGTGTTTGCCAATGACCGACTTCGCACGGATGGCTTAACCCTTTCATTTGGTGGCGGGACCAGGATACAGATCCCGTAGCCACAGCCTTTTGACGGCGGTGATATGGGAACTTTTCTGGAGGACTTTGAGGATACTTCAGAGGCGGCCCGACCGTGGTAAGTTAGCAGGACTAAAAATCCCTCTCAGATGCCGCGCGAAACGGCTCTTCGTGCTGTCAGAAACGACCATCGGAAGACGGACTGAGACGACCTAAAAGAAGCTCTCTCAGCGAAGTTCGACAAGCCGGCAAACCACCAAGGGCCTATGAAGCGGTTCAAGGCGGCCGGGATGGGACCGAGTTGCGACCCGACCGTGTTTTTTGCAAGTCCACTGTAGTGGCTGGATCGTGTCCCGCCAAGACTGGTCTCCCAGAAGTTGTTGTCTGATCAGCTCGCCGGAGGTGTGCATCCGGCTCTTGGTGGTCAGTTGCGGCTGTCCAGAGCAACTGGCAAGTTAGGCGTGGAGTGGAAAGTCCGTCTTGCGCGGCAATTGGTCGAGGTGCCAATGGCTACGTTGCAGCCGCAGGAGATAATGGAGGACCTGTGAACCAAAGTGGACCGGATAAACGGACAGCTTGCTGCCACGAGGACAGTCGCGGAAGCATACCTGAAGGAGCTGATGCCACAACCGAGACATGTCTAGCCGCCGGAAAAATCAATATCGCCGTACACGACCACTTGCAAATAATAAGGCTCCGGATCACTCTTCACATTCGGGGTGGTTGCGATTAGTGCTATGGTATAGGCTTTGACAGGCTGTTACCGAGATGGACTTGAGGAAGTGGCTGCACCTAACTGATACAAAAGTGGGATCGTCACTGAGACGGAGATGGCGGAGATGATGCGTGCGAGCCGTGAGGGAAGTGGGTGGATACCAACTGAAAACCGACGGATTTTTGATGCACGCAAGGCGTCTAGATAACCGGTCAGCGCGACACGAGTTCCCAAGCAGCCCAATAATAGAGCAGACGATTTTGAGACCGGATTTTTTCAAAGGCGTAGGATTCGTCGTTGACTTAAAGCGAAGTGTGACGAGGTATAGCTCACTCAAAAGAATGTTTTTAACCGTACAGGCTCCGTCCATTTCCACACCATCTACGGAGGAAGGTCCAACAGACATTTTGAAAAATAGCATAATCAAGGAAAATAACAGTGCAAACGTTTTCTCGGTTGTGCTTATGAAGAATACAAACGGAAAATAACGATTTTGCGTGATTTTAGCGTTTGAATCAACTGACAGTAAACGTGGACGTAGATATCCATTTGGGTGCGTGGATTTTTGATCCCCTCCAGAAATCCCGATATTTCACGGCAATCAAACTGCATCCTGGATACCGGCAAACAGCTAGTCAATGAGGACCGGGAGCAGACGACGTTAGTTGTTACGTCTATCCCAAACCGCTTCAGACGAATGTCGTTTTGTTTGTCGGGGGCGCCACTCAAATCCGGGCGTCTGATGCTCTGTTTGAAGATGGGACTACAACATGCTGTCCCGAATGAAGGCGATGTCACAGTGTATATCAATCTACTTGATGGTCGTATTGAAGCGTATACAAAAAGCTGGCCCGCGGATTAATAAAGCCCAGAAACAGCTCGTTCAAAGTTTGCTAACACTGCTTAGGCTAATGAGAGTCACGGAGAGATTAACCCACTTCCAGAAAAACTGCCAAAGATCCAGAGCTATACACTATCCAACTTGAGGCGGTCTTTACGACGGTTTCTCGTACGACCAGCATACTATTGCTGGTTTGTCAGAAATTGCAACGCAGTTACTGCTCCACCGAAGGATTTGTTGCATCGAAATCGGAATCAGACAAGAGAAGCTCACAAGACCTTTGAACGTATCAGATAGCTGGATTATCAGCGAACCCTCAAATTGTTTAGAGTAAGTGAGCTGTTTACTGTTGCAACGGGGGGTCGTAATGGTGGTATCGGTGCAGTCGTAAAACAGACGAGTGGTGTCACTGAATACGGCAGTGTGGTCCTTATTTGGGCTGAGAAGAAGTACTCAGTTATTGGGAAAGTCTTTTTAGCGATTGCTTGGGCTATAGATAGGTGGAGGGTATTCTTGCTGGGACAAACATTTAACGTCAACGACCGTGCGAAAACCGCATGAGTGGATCGGAATCATCAGAAGTCCTCACGAAAAGCTCGCACGCTAGGCAGTCCGATTACAAGAGTGCTTCAGGATCCGGCACGTTCCAGGGAAGTAGAACCACCTGGCCGATCGGCCGTCAAGACGATAGGGTGGAAATGAGGCCACAAAGATCATGATCAGCGCAACTAGCGTCGTCAGTAGACTGGATTCTAGAGGGCTGGAACAAGTTCAGCGGCAAAATCTCATTTTGAAAAAGGTCACAATGTCATAGCCTGACGGGGTGTGTGTATGGCACTGGAAAGGAGGCATGGAATTGGAGACCGGGGTCATTTCTAAGCTAGGCTAAGTCTGATTGCATCTGGCGTAATATCCTGGAACGCCGCCAATTCTGGTGTTGAGCTGCCCGCGATACCTCGTTTACTGAGGCGGAAGCTGATGCCATGAGGTGACACACAAGGCATACGCCTCACTTAGGAGGTAGGCTCATTGGTCCTGGGTGAGAATTTAGGTAATCGAGCGTGGTGGCAAGGAAGTGGTGAAAACTAAGGAAAGGGGATACGATACGGGCCACTTACACCATGGAACCCATCCCTGTACCAGAAATGAAGCAGTGATGATCCGTTAACATCTTGGGCCATTTCCGATGTCAGCTAGTGGAACTCAGTACATCGTAATAATGATAGAACACCTGTCCTGATGGTTCAAGTTGGCAGCCGCAATAAATCAACGGGTGATGATGATCAGTGAAATAGTAATGCACCACATTGTGGTCAACCATGAGGTTCCAAAAGTGGTCTTAACAGATCAGGGACCTTGATTAGAGATTGAAGATTTGATGAGGCGCTCGCAGAATCTGGGCAGGAGGCGGCTAAAGATAGTGCCATACCATAAAACGCTTTTATCGAACGATTAAGGAGTGGCGGGCGGCTAGAAAGGGTGACTGGGAAGTGAACTTGCTGATGGTGCTGTTAAGACATTGTGCACCGGTACAGCGAACAACAGGCAAGTCATCGTTCACGCTGATGTACGGTCGACGTCCTGGATTTCCAGATGAACAAACATATGACTGAACAATTTATGACCGCCAAACTCGCTCTTGAAAGGCACGAGGAACCTAAGGCAGTAGCAAATTCTTTTCGACGTAAGACGCTGTGCCGCCTCTCGAATTTATCTGCAATTAGAGATCTTGTGGTCGCTGACGAAAAGCCTCTTTCTGACCCCACTGACACTGCAGAATCTCTAAACTCTTACTCCGCCAGTTGCTACGTTCCATCCGCATCGACCCAATCTATACGTTGCTCCCCACCTGGTCATTAGGTGACCACATCTGTTATGAGAACAGCACCAGCCTCTGCACACTCTCAGTTATTTTGTCTGATATAAATTCGTCTCTCGTCCACCTTAGAGACTCCAATTTCTCAGGCCCTGATGGTATTGTAGCGGACAAGGACCTAAGTATGCGTCTGATATAAATCGTCTCTCGTCCACCTTAGAGACTCCAATTTCTCAGGCCCTGATGGTATTGTAGCGGACAGGGACCTAAGTATGCGTGTTCAATAAAATATACAATCAAAATATCAGATTAGAAATAACAAATGGCAATAAGAAATGGACAAGTGAATGGAACAGACTCACTAAATTGGGGGTCCAATAATCCCACTACACGAAATGTTGTGCAGTAATCGTATTCGGCGGCGAAGAATATATCCAGAGTAAAAAGGATATTCTCCACTGATAGTTCAAGTGTTAGAAGTAAATTCCACGGTAGGAATTTATCACAGCTGAAAATTGCCACAAGGAGTTATTGTGACGTTCAACAGTTCACACACAAACACAATGATCCAATCTCACAACTTCGGCAAACAACAATCAGTTCAATCGGATGCAATTTCACTGACTCAGCAAAAAGCAGAGGAGTCGCGCCAAGAGATTGTGTATTTCCATTTTCGATTTTAATGTAATTATTGGTACAATAAAACAAAATGTCATGATACGTGTACAGTGTTTACAAATTGCAATTCACGTTTATATGAAGAGAGTAGAAAATGGGGAAAATGTAACATTGATTTGCAAAACACCACAGTACTCCCCCTAGAGCGTTAGGAATGATAAGGGAATGACGCTCGATAGCGGTAAAAATGTTTTATAGGTTGTAGTCTGCAAAACGAATGGGGGTCTTGCTTGTACGTCCAGTACGGGTGTGCTTCAGAATAGGCAACGGGTGTTCGTCGGCAGGCTGGGATACTGGGTCGGGTTGTTTTGGGATCGCTGTACAGGACGGTTGGGGTCGTGTATGACTGTCGACTTGAGCAGGTGAATCGGGGTTCGAATCATCCACATATGCGACTTTCAATCTGTCGATACTCACGGAATCTGGTTTGCCGTTCCTCTTAGTCGTAAAGTATTTGTCCTTCCGCGAAATGACTTTGAACGGACCATCGTAAGGATACTGTAATGGTCGTTTGACGCGGTCAACGCTGACAAAAACATGTGTGCATGGAGATACCCGGGATTCACTTGCGTGAGTCGACTTGACTTGCGAGTATCAGCTATACGTATGGTTCGCATATGACCCTGCAGTCGTGAAACATACGTTGATGGTGAGAAATCATCAATCGACATCGAGGCAGCAACCATGTCTCCAGGACAACGCAACGTTTGTCCGTAGACTAGTTCAGTTGGAGTGTATCCGATATCCTCTTTTACGGTGTTTCGTATTCCGAGAAGTATTACTGGAATTGCTTCAGACCAAACCTGGGATGATGACTTGGCCATTATCGCGGCTTTGAGTTGTCGATGGAGGCGTTCGACTAAA